GCCTTTCCTCTCTCTGAAATCAATAAAGATATATTTAAAAAAAAAAAAAAAAAGTAAAATCTTTTTTATTTGTATCAGATTGGTTCAGTGCCACATTGTGTGTTGGATGAGGGCACCAAAGGATCTGTGATGGAAAAGGTTGGTAGTCAACTCTAGGTAATGTGCAAAAACTTGGAAATATGCAGAATAACACCAACTTCAGCTCAGTGGAAAACTGCACTAGATTTGGATTCAAGTACTAGCTGCAGAACTCAGGTCACCTAACCATTCAGAACTGCAGTTTTCTTATTTGTGTTTTTTTCCATGTTCTGCCATTTCTCATAAAAACAGAGACAATATCTGAAAAATGAAGATAATAACCAGCTACATGGCTGTTTTAAAGATTAAGTAAAAGTTACATGAACTGTAGAGTGTAAAATAAATGGAAAGTAACATTTCTCTTAATAGCCATAAATCTGTATAATTAACTTATCTATATCTTAACTGATATAACCAGTGTATTACTATTTATATACTATCACTTAATAATATACATTATAGAATTATATATTACATTCCATTTGACATACTAAGTCAATTTACAATTTAATCTTATTACCAATACTATTAAAGGTATAAAATTCAAGAGAAACAAAATGGTATACACAATAAGAAGTGAGTCTTCCTCCCTACCACCCCATTGTCCAATGGTCCCTCTCTTGCTGGACATCTCAGAGGCCATCAGAACCAGTCGCCAAGTTCTTGCATACATAAGCATGTATATATACACATATGTTTACACACACACACACCCCAGTAAGCAGTTTTAAGTAGAGGGAAAGTGTTTGCATTGGAGGAAAAAATGCATCAGGGATAGCAAGAGAGTGAGTTAATCTAGGGCAGTGTGTAAAGGTCACCAGCAATCCTTGTAGAGAAATAGAGATAAGGAGAAGATTTGTTTGCCTTCTCATTGTCAAATGGGTGAAGTAAGCCAAGAATAAGTTGGAAACTGACCAAATGGATCGCAGTCCACCTGAAGTTTAAGGACACTGGAATAACTCCAAGGAAACTTGGTAAACACTACAGACATTATGGTAAGAAAAGTAAACAATAAACGAAGCACACAGTAATTAGAGATGGAATTATCTAGACAGTTCCCTCTTGAAGGTGTGGAGAAGAACTTGAGTAGCAAAGTTTGAGATAAAAAAGGGAAGAAATGATATTGGTATAAAAGAAGCAAAATTGGCTTAAGTGCTAACAGAACTTCTTAGGCAAAGCTGTTATAAATCCCCCCCACACCTTTTTAAAAACACACAAACTGTTAGACTTACTATTCTACACATTGCTTTTCCACTTGAAGTTTGGTAAGGATCATTCCTTATTAGGACATTTGGAGCTGTTTCATTTATTAATACTACCTGTTTTCTCACACCATTGGCTAGTACAAACTGCAAACAATCACTCTTTTAAATTTTTGCTAATTTGATAGATTAAAAAAGGGGATATCACTGTGGTTTTTTCTCTTATTAATGAAGATGACATTATTCATGTTTAAAAACCTTATTTGAGCCCTAGCCGGCTTGGCTCAGTGATCAGAGTGTTGTCCTACAGACTGAAGGGTCCCAGGTTCGATTCCGGCCAAGGGGACATATCTCAGTTGCAGGCTCAATTGAACAAGACAATCTGTAAGGTTCTTTTAGCATTAACATTTCTTGGTTTATTTTTTCTCTGAAATTTCTATTTCAGTGAAGCCTTTCCAAGACCTCATTATGACTCTAAGGATGTTTGGGGAGGCAAGTGATGTTGTGAAACATTAACAGATGTCATGCTGCTTACAAGGAACAGGTAAGAGTGTGTGTGTGTG